TTCCCTGTCCCGATTTTTGCTGGTCACCCTCCCAGCCACCCAAAGCTCCTGGTCCCTGCACTCCCCAACCCCCAGCTGTCTCTCTATGCCCAGCACGCCCCTTGGCATCGCACCGGGGGACACTTTTAGGGCAGGAAGAAGGTCAGGAATGGGAAAGACAGCTCAGGATTTGAATAGCTTGTCATCCTGCTTTAGTATTCTCTCTTGTATACAGGTACATACATTTGAAGAGGTTATGCTAATTATCAACTAATCTTCAGTATTTTCCATACCAGACATTTCAAACCACTGTATAATTTAACTGTTATTGGTGGTTGTCACCATGATCCTTCCAAACTAACATGGTTTCCATCAGATTTAATGCAGTTCACCGGGGAGGGAGGGGAGTAGGACTTAAAACCAAAAAAACAATGTAAGAAATGGGATGGTGTGGGGGGCTGCCACAGCCAACAAGACCTGTCTAATACCGCAGTGATTCTCAGTAAAGGCATCCTATAATCACGACAAGCCTCATGTGATCCCATATTCTATATTTAATAGATAAGGCAATGCTTTACTTCTCTACAGCACTACCTTTCATCTAGAAGAACTGGTATTTAATGTATCATAGGAGCTGCGCTCAGAGAGTCGAGGCACCCCTAGGAATATTGAAAGCACGACAAGTTGCAGCAACAATTTAGCTTCGAGGTAGTGGTGCATGGAAAGAAGGGAAAAGAGGAATTTTAAAGTTAGCTGTTAGGAAGAAAGGGGAAAATGAAAGAAAAGTAATGAAACAAAAATAGGAAAGAAAAGACATTAGACAAAGTCTTGGACAAAGAGAGGAACTTTGCACCTTATTTTGAAGGGCAATAGAGGTTAAAGTTCTAACAGACCCCCAGCAGGACTTTCAAATAGCCAAGAACCCTCCACTGAGAATGTCTTGCCTCCGGCTCTCAAGAGTACTTGTAACCCATTGGTCATTATGTCCCCTTCTGCACCCGATCCACAGAGCATGCAAGTCCATTACGGCCTCCAGGTCAGAACCTGGCTCTTAGCTCAAGCTGTAGAAACATGTGCTTTCAGCTCTGGAGGTCTCCAATTCAATTCTCCATGTGGTGTCTGCACAGAGAGACACCTAGGCACTGTTGTCAGGAGCCGTTCAGATGGCATGGTGGCCCACAGGGCAAGAGAAGGGTCCTAGGGGTTCCTCTAACCTACCCCAGCCGGCAATTGCCCGAGTGCACTGTGCTTCCACCATGCTAGAGCTTGATGTGGAAATAGGACGGGACCCAGCTATGCTGGCTCTGTGCCAGCTGATAAGTCCCCCACACACACTGGGAGAATTCACAGCTGGCCAAATCTAGATGATTTCTGACCCCTCTGTGCTGCCAAAGAGGCACAAAAGAATCAGAACC